AKMAWYATCRTCACCAAAGCCTCTCAGAATGAAGAACGAGAAATTTCCCTCCACTGCGCATGTCGCGGCGAGGCATTCAGCGAATCATACAGTGAATGTCGGTGCTTTAAGCCATCATKTTGGCAATGATATTCGAGGTAGAAAAACCACATCAGTCAAATCGCAATTGCCAGAGTTTTATAGCATTTTACAAGCACAGAAAACTCATTCTAGCTACAGATTAAAGGCGAGTCCACCGAAACCGGCTGAACAATTACCCAGTAGTTCTTTGCGGTCCGAAGTACTGAGACGTTTTGCTAAAGCAGGGTTTGCATCTATTGCCCTGAATAAACTTAATTTCGGTCGTAAGTCAAGGGGAAGCGCTGGGAGTGTCAGATTCAGACCTTGCACGCCATCACCGGTGAGTTACAGTGTCCTTTTAAATTATCGCGCACAAGTTGATACTCAAAAATGGAAGAACGCTGGACAAAATGTTTAAAGGCACATTTGAAGTTCGAAGGAATGTATATACTCCAAACTATATAATCCTGAATGGTCGAATTATAATTATGACTTTAGTATCAAATCCAAATACCAAATCTCCTGTATTCACTTGCGATTTGTGCAGCGCGATAATCGCCACTTTGCTATCGCGCAACTAAAATCATACGCATAAACAGCCCTGCGATTGTTGCGACGATGGAAAATCGCTGGTATGTTGCAGACAATTTTCAAGCATGTTCGAAACTCAAGCGATGGCCGCGGCTTGACGATCGCCGCGAGAATCGCCCTGCAAAAATCGCAAGTATAAACGGGCATTAAGAATAAAATGCATGCGAAGCAAMTTTCTTTGAGACCATTCAAATCCAAATGGCTGCATGTTAACGTTTATTTATCTATTATYAAACCTATCATTAAAGAACATAGAGAAAAAACGATTCAAAACCTTTTACTAGGTCAAATCAACTGTGATAACTAAGAAAATAAAAATAACATTAGGATAGAATATAAGAATGTCAAACACTGAAGTACTAGAGCCAGCGTCCGTAATAATTACCAGTTCTCTCCGCTCCCAGCCAAAATCAATGCTTTCCAATTCTCCTTCTACTCTCGTACAATTCCTGTATGGAACTCTCTACCGCCACCGCTGGCCGCCCCATTGCCGTATTAGCTCACTAGTTGCAATTAATTTATTTAAAGATTAAAGACAAGTAAAATACAAGTAAGCCGAAAATGTCATTGCTTTAATTCTTTTAATTCATCTACTACTAGCTGCSGGTTTTAGTAAAAATTACACTGTGTTTTGGGTGATATCTTGGATCTATTTGTCGAAAAAATCCAAAACAGTTGCATGAAATATCGTTAAGTATGTCTTTGCGTATGCGCAACACACTATCTATGTTAAGGATACGTGAAATTCCCAAATTCTGTTCCACACAAAGACTGGAAAGCGACCGATAACGTAAAGTTGCTGAAACCGTAAGTGCGTCTCCGCGTATATATTACACGCTGCGAAAAAAAGGCGGCCTGAGCCTACGTAAAGTTGCTGATACTGCGTAAGTGTGTCACCGCCGTGTACACATAAAAGGAGGCTACTCAAAGTAAATTCCAAACACTGTCCCCTGCGTAAAAAGTGACTGATTACGTAAACTTGCCGTAGCGTAAGTATCGAACTCTTCGTTCCACAAACAGCGACTTGCGATCTTAATATCCTGGCCTTTAGCTTCCCCGACATGAACCACAACAACGAGTTTAAATCTTGAAAGGTTCAGTCTTTTAACTCTCTCTTTTATTGTCTGCGAGGCTGTTTTACTCATTTCTCTACTAGTCTTTAAATCGTAAGCCTCCTTTTCAAAGATCTCTTTTAAAACTTGGGCGATGATGTTTTGAACTTCGTCAACAGGGAAGCGTTCGTCTGGTGACATCTTGTACGTGCCTTCRTAGATCACGCGGCGTTTGAGCGAAGCTGGCAGCTCGAAAACCGCACTATTRCCTTCTGAGAGCTCATCGCTCTCGCGTAAGTCTATCTCGGTTTTTAATACTGGAAKTTGGTTTTCTTTGAGGTTAATGTAGCCTCCTTTKCGCTGGCTTTTCGTTGGGATAAAAACATTTCCTTTTTTCTGAACAAATGTCATCTTTACTCTTGATTGAAATCTTGCTTTTGTTCGGTCGGCAATAACGTTCCTGRTGTAGTTCACAGGAGTTTAAAAACTTTGCAAAATCGTTATCTATTTCATGTACTTTGCTACAACAAGGACGAGTAATCCATATTCGTTGTTTAGAAGTTCTTGTGGCCACTTTGCTAAAGTGACTATAGTGCCATAMRCGRAATATTGATGYTCCCCTTGGGACCTTCTGCACGACAAATACCGCCCCTGTCTTTTGTAGTGGCTTRCACGGGGTAACTTTACTAATGACTGGCTATCATAAAGAATTCAAAGGCTGTTAAGCAAAGACCTTGTAAATCCCAAGGATAATGTCCAATCCTAAAAATAGATAACATCAGAAGCCTTGTGTTTATTAAGGCCATTGTATTGTTATACGAGTTGGGCTGTTTAACGRGCTGGCTTCTTTTACATGTTGTTTTCCCCAGGGAAAGGCACGCTTCATATTATCATGGCTTTTAAAATGCCCTTGCATATAGTTTTAACTGTTACCAAAGTGCTAAAGTTAAAATGATGTATAATTGCATTTTGTTGCGCTGTTTTGTCACTGAGCACGGGAAATATACAAATATAAAGTGAATTATTGAAGTTCAATCGCATAATAGTCGAGTTTCGCGATCTCTTTTACGCTGTGTTAGCCTCAATTGTAGCTAAAATTTCAGAAATGTAGATAAAACTCGTTAGATTTCAAACTATTTCCATTGTCTTCTATACTCACAGATCTCTTGCATTTGCAYKGGMWGYTGYGAATAAAAGAATTTATTACATGGTTTTGAGGCTAACACAGCGTAAAAGAGATCGCTAAAAGGTTTATTCTTGCTCTGAGTTTCCGAGCAGCGATATAGTCCAGGACGGCCCACCATTCCTCTCATCGATATCCACTTTAAGAGCGTACCTCCTCTACGTCTCAAGAAGAGACTTTCCAGATTGTCTTAGTCCATGCTGCACAACATTTTGCCGCACGCCTCATGTTAACGAAGCATGAACGGTAGTGTTGTAGAATAGATTGCTATGGGACTGATCTACCTTGGCGTCGGTGCTGCTGAAAGTCTCGGTTCTCGGTATGTGAAACCTATTTAGCTATCGAGAGTTCGTCGTTTGAGTCATTTTAATATTATTCTCGGGTATAATAATTCATTTAGCATTTGTTTTGCAAATCGGTAAGTTTCTTTTGCTTTACCGAAAGTAAATACTGAACGATGTAAGAACACCTTCTCAAATAGAATTCTTTTTAAACATTTAATATAATATATAGTAGTTAATATGAATTTTAGCAGCTTTTCTTACCATGTTTTATTGTATTGGTCTATTTAGATACCATTATCTGTAATTTTGGATATGTATTTTTATCCTTGCTTAATAAATATTATTATTATTATTATTACCTCCGTGATTTCTATGAATCACAATCATTGATGATATTTGGAAATCAGTAAAATAACCATAATGTCAATTCTAATTCCACGGCCATGGAGYTGCTATTTAATTTTTATTTGTTTATTTTATAGATTCCACAAAGAGATATATGATTAAAAAGTAAGACTAAAAATAAAAGAAATAACTGTAAGAGGTGAGGGATGTACAACAGAGCGAAGCTACAAATTAAGTGTGCCCGTTCCGCTAGTTTAAAAAAAGCAACTGACGGAAAAAAACGAATATAAAAAAGTAGTATTATAAAAATGAACTATATATAAGGCATTAGTAAATTCAATGATAGATTCATATATATGAGAGGTTTCAGCTGAAAAGGGGTCTTATTCATAAATATTTTGCTTTGGACTACATATAAAACTGTTGCGTCATCAAAGGGGTCTTAATCCTTAAGACCCTTTTTAAGTTGCAACCCCTCATATATTTAATTCAAAATGTCTTAAAACAGGACATTGTGATTTTGTCATTTTCTTGAATGATTTTTATAGGTAAATTTTCCTTTCAGGACTTCAAGGATCCTCTATAGAGTCTGCGGAAAKCAAGGTAGGCATAACATTGTTCACGAAAACTGTTCAGTTTACCTGTTTTAAGAGGGCTTTTAAAAGCCCATATCAAATCTCCCGAGAACATAATTTTCTGGACATGCGCATTAGTTACCCAAAATATTGAATGACGTCATACAGTGTCCCAAAAGAGTCATTTGACATCCTTGACAAACAATTCTCAATTTCTTCCACTAAATCYTTCTAAATCCCAATGAATTATAATTCAATTGTCCTAGCTTGCAGCAGTAAAAGTGACTGGCTTAATGGTCATTGTATTGTCAAAAAGCATGGCCTATGAATTGAATAGTCTATTATCAGCTAAGAAAGACCAATTAGCAAAGGAACATTTCACTTAGCTTAAAATTCACTAATCGACGCGAAAACTGCCAATTATAAGCATTAAAGCGAAATACTTTTAAAATGAACGCTGAAAATACTTCTATTTGAGCTGATAAAAGCTAAACATGGATTTAAAGAAGATTTAGTTTTAATACGTCAATCTCAAGAAGTTTTGTGAGATTTTTGCATAATTTACCTTGCAAAGTCAACATTCCTTTGTCAACAATTCATATGCTCGAGTTTTGTGTACCGCTTATCGTCCTAGTAACGTAACTTTAGGGAAGGATTGACGCCAATCAAGGACAAGWTACCCTATATTTCCGTTCATGAAGGGAATTTTGACTTCAAAACCTCAAAAACACAAGCAAAACCCAATATTCAGTCGCTTTATTGGTCAATTAATTGATTGAAAATTCAAGTCATCGGTAAAAAGGTTGCCGGTCTTTGACAACGATAGYTCTTTGAACACTATTTTCATTTGCTGTAAGTTTTTGTCGTGGGAAAACGTTTTGAAAAATGGATACACCAAAGCTKGTWATCAGCATGAGTCATGCTAACGAAGCCACAGAAGGAACTCCAAGAACACGGCGCTCTTCATCAACAGTAAATCCCGGCGAAAGCAGAACAAGAAGCTCTTCCACAACATCWACMGAAATGTGGAGTCCTCAGAAAGACAGACGAAAGCCATCCATGTCAAATCCCTACTTTCATTCATCACCAAGGAAATATTCCACAAATTTCAACTCTAAATCCTACAACGAAACGATCGAGTTCCAGGCGCAGAAAGCTCGAGAGATGGCCAAACAGCAACAACTACAGCCCACGTAYCGWACCGAACCGCAAGAAAACAAAAGGTTTGTGCCTCATATAGTTAAACAGGTCATGGATAGCACTCTAGAAGAAGCCTTAGACGGACTGGACTGCTATGAACCGGCAAAGTGCAGATCACTCAGCGTAAGTGTTTGCGAGGATATCAAGCAAAAAGTCAAATGGCTAAACTACGACAGATACAARTTAGTTTGCGTTGTCTATTTTGGATCGATCAATGGACAAGAAATGCGTCTCGCAAGTCGTTGTCTATGGAACGAAAGCTGGGACAGTTTTGCGTCTTCAAGTGTCCGAAAGGGTGATGTCTACGCAGTCGCCTTGATGTATGGTGTTTATGTTGATTAACAATCTCAGCTTCTCACTCAGTTGGTTCTTAGTAACTTTATTGATCATATCTGGATGTTATCTGATTGTTTTCGCGCCATAACGGCGCATGGGTAGTTCGTATAGTGGTCACTTGATGAAGTGATATCTCGACCCGTTATTCTGTCTAGCGATTGATCTAAACATTGATTGGCCTTCAGAAATATTGCTATGATCGGTAAGAACTCATCAGATTTCTTCTATATACTCAGAATTTCACTCTTGCCAAGTCATTTCCAATTTTGCACGTAACAAAAGAGACGAATTACGCGCAATTAATCAAAGTGACAAAGTATTCTGGGTAGGCAAAGCATTCCGAGGTAGCAAAGCATTCTGGGATAGCTGTCGTATTTAGCTATTTCAAGAAATCTTTTCCTTAGGAAGGGCGATTGGCATTTGTCAAACGGAGATTGCACAATTGAAAGAAGCTACACAATTCCCTACCCAAGCCAAAACTTTGACTAATAATATATAACTATCAGCCATTACCATTCAATGTTAACCACCGTTAAATCGTTATTCGACTCTTTGACAACCTTCGACACATGCGAGATTTGCCGTGTTTTTCTTAGTTTTTTTAATCTGCTGTCTTGGTCTATGACTCATTCTATCATATGGCGACAAACATTCTGTGGTAAAATCTCTAGTGATTCTTGATAAGCAGCTCTTGGACGAATGTTTGTATTGATCAACTTT